GATCTCACAGGCCTTGCCCAGGCCCGACATACATGACTGGGAACCTGGGCCATAGATCACAGGCCAGTGCCTGGCAGAGAGGAGCAAATGCCAATTTTTTCACTTCTCCATAGTACATACCTGGCAGAAGACTGTCTGGACACTCTTGTGTACCTCATCCCTCCTAGGTAGTCCTATCTTTAAGAGTACTGGAATAGGCTGGCCATCTGCCACTCCCCCTTTCTCGTGGATCAGCCACACCATTTGACCAGGGCTCTAACTCTCCAGGTTGACACTGTCTTCTCTGTCTACCTGCTTGTGTCCTTCCCTACACTACCTTCTTGGCAGAATGCACTTTGGAAAATTAACATTGCTTCCAGATGGAAACAGAACAAGAGAAGGGAATTGTATTCATTTTTATCTCACTGGAAATGCTAGGAAAGAGGAGAGCCCAAGGTAACCTTTTTAAACTAAAAAAAAAAAAAAAAAAAAATTAATTTTTTTTTTAATGATGCTTCCTGCTGCTAGAGTGACAGAGAGAGGGAAGGGACAGCCCCCATGCATTGTTGGTGGGAATGCAGTTCAGCATAACCTTTCTGCAAAGCTATTGGCTAGGTTGTATCAATACCCTTAAAAAAGACTCCTAGCCTTTGACCCACTTATTTAACTTCCAGGCGTTTATGCTAAGGAAACAAATATATTCAGTGATCCTCAACAAGGATGCGAGTTGCACCACTATATAATAGCTAGAAGGGCATAATAATCTGAATATACAAAATAAGAGAAAGGTTGCATAAATCAGGGTATATACCATATGATAAAATACCCCATAACCATTTTAAGAATGTGATAGCAAAGGCTATTTAATGACATTCGAAAATGCTTTATTAAGGGGAAAAAAAAAAGAACTGGCTACTATGTATGTAGTTTTATTCCTCCCAAAATGAGAAGATATGCCAGGATATTAACAGCGATTATCAGTGGTTATAAATTATGATTGTATTGCTTTTTCTTGCTTTTTGGTATTTTCCAATTTTCTACAAGGCCATCTATAATTTTGAGTATCAGAATCTTGAAAGGTTAGCTTTCTTCTTAATGGTGAGCTTACTGCTCACCTTGCACCAGGTTTTAATAACCACAGAGCAGAGACTACCCTGGGTCTGCCACATCCATGATGAGATTGGGAGACTGCTGGGGCAGCCCTGTCCATAGGAAGGGAGGCATGCCCTGGCTGGTACACCAGACGTTCCATCATTTGAGTGAGTCATCACAGAAGGGTGTCAAGCTGATGATAATGCCACACACTGTATTTGAACTGTTGGCTACAACCCAACATGCTGCCAGGCCTTTGAGCCTTATCTTCCTAAGCCATTCTTTCTTCACTGTCCAGTGAATGTCAACAGGACTGACTGGGACTGTATGACTCCTTTTGAGGACACTGTGGACCAGCAAACTAAAGCTGACATAAGCCTTCCAGTTGAATCCAAACTAGACCAGCAAATGTTCATTCCATGCTAAAGTTTAAGCTCTTATTGTTGTTGTAGTTGTGCCTTAAAGGGGGGGAGGGGAAGGTGGTGGGGCACTGGCAGAATCCCAGGAGTGAAAAATGTGCTGGGGCATTCAGCTCAGATACTCACAACTGGACTCTGAGGATGGTAGAGAGGCCTTAGGGGGTCATCTGCTAAGACTGTAGTTACCAAATTATTTTCTCCTGTCCTAACCTCAGTCATTTGTGATCTTTGGCCTCAGTAGAAAAGTGAGAATTTGATAGAAGCTTCAGGGCCAGTAGCAAAACTGGCCTTTTATTGTTTGTGTGTTTTGTTTTAGGTTTTTTAAGGGTGAGATTTTTTTGTCTGCTGTTGTCATTTTTCAGTAAGCTATAGACACTTTGGAGGTGAAGGGGAATGAAAGAGTAGACAGTCTTGGGCCATTAGCATCATTCGTGTGATCTTATTTCCCATTTACATGTTCTCTGAGTTGTAACACAACTAAAATAAAATGTACTCCTTGCTTCTTGGAGGAATATTTGTATATTATTGTCATTCTTTTGCTATAGACATTCATCATTAAATAAATAAAAATGTTCTACAGTATTGTTGATCATGAGTTTTATGACATGATTCTGAGCACAAATGAATAAAAAGCATAATTCTATCAGTAGTTTAAAAAAATCAAAGTACTGTGGAGTGTGCATTTTACTGTTACACTAAAATATAATAGTCATAAATTTTAAATTGTGGTCATTTTATAGCAAATAAATGTCACTGCTATGAGTAAAACACAAGCAAACAAATGAAATTCTATTAGTCATTAAAAATGACAGTCAGTACTACAATAAGTGACATGGAGATTGAAGAGTAAGTTCTTATAATGGTTTCAGATACCCTGGAATTCCAACCACACCCCCAGATAATTTCAGCTATGTACGACTGGTCAAGACCCACTTAGGTATGCAAGGATGTGAAAAAACATTCAGAACCACATTGTGTTCATAGAGTATGTCCTGAACTATGCCTTTATCTTATTTTTTTTTTAACCAAAGGCATAATTCTTATACAAATGAGATAGGAAGCTAGAGGGGTTTCCTACTTATAAAAGCCACTAAAAAGAAAAAAAGAAAACAAATAAAAAGTCCTAAGGACTTTTTAATTGTCCTGTGCTGACCACTGACCAGAGGAACAGATGAGTTCAGGCCTCTTGGCCTGAGCTGCTTGCTCTCTTGAACTTGCAGATTGTCCCTGGTCAGAGCTTGGGTTCCTGGGCTGCGTTGCAGTTTGGAAGTCATGGTAGGCCTTGCCTACTATATCGAGAGGGACGGGCTATGGGGAGAGGCCTGAGAAAGCAAGGTCTTGCTCACCAGCTGCAGCTACAGAAGAAAGTGAGGACTGCACAGTTAAAATGAGGCAGCACTTTCTCCCAGGACTCGAGACAGAGTCAAGTGGGAGCATGTATTCAGCTAATAAGAGAGTAACTTATCCCTCGGCTGCCAAATCTTACTGTCTTATGTTATAGTTGTTTTTTGGTCTGTCCAATCTTGTTAAATACATTGGGAACTCTTGAGGTTAGGGACCTTGGCAAATGCCAAGTTGTATTCCATTTATTGTGTTTGATCATACTATGTGCTCAGTAGCTTGTCTTTGCTGGATTATTTGAGAAAAAGAGAAAAAAGCCATACTCTTTGAATTTAATTTCTTGTATTATATGAATTCCATCTGCTATGTGAATCTACCAGAGAGAAGACTGGAGGCAGGATTGGGGAATTTACAATGTGTTGAGTCTTATTGAGTCTGTCTGTTGCTACATTCCCATTTTCCTTTGCAAATGTGGCAGGCATCTAAAGGAGATTCATAAATCACTGGTTAAGAAGGCTTCTAGTGCTATGGCTGGGTCTATAAAGAAGCTTGGCACAACATAGAGGAACAGAGCCAGTCCTGCTACCCTAGAGGCAGGACACGGTAGTGGCCAGAGCCCAGGGCTTAGGGCCAGGGGATCGGGGTCTGAACCTCGGCCCTGTCACTTATAGGCAAGCCTCAAATGGGCCCCAAGTTTCCACATCTGTGAAATAGGAATCGTATTGTGTGTCTTTGGCTTGTTGGGTAAGTTAAATGAGATTTATTAATTTACTCACTCAACAATTATTTCTTGAATACTTACAGGCACTATTTTAGGCATTGGAGATAGATCAGTAAACAAAATGGATAAAAATCCCTGCCCTTGTAGAATTTATGTTCTAGAAATATAATGCACATAATGGCATTAAGTAAGTGTTTCATTCATTTAGTCTGTGGATTTCTGGTGAACTCATGTGATGGGTTTTTACTGTATATTTCCATGAGAATGTATGTTACAACCATAGATAATTAGGACCATTATGAGGTCTCATGTCTGAATTGAGAATGGCCCACTGTATAGGACATTTATGCGTTCTTGCTAAATCCCACTATGTTTAGAAAGTCTGTTGCACTGGAATTGGATTGCTGTCATTTTCACCTCTATAAAGTGCTTGGATCAAACATTCCAGCAGTCGGCTGAGGCTCAGGACTGCAGGTGGTGTTGTGGCTGGGCGATTTCCACATTATTTTCTCAGTCATTGGTCTTTGCACTATCTGTGATTTATGTGATTTTATGGAGTTGCTAGGATGTTTGTTTGTGTAATTTGTAGAAATAAGTCAAAGGGCTAGCATGACCAGTTAAAAGTCACAAGCTGTATTTTAATGAGTAATTTTAACCTTTCCTCTGCAAACTTTTGATCAGTTAACATCAAAGAACAAAATGACAGATTGAAGTTTTCAGTTCCTCATTTTTTCATTGCCTTCCCTGTGAGTTTTTTTCTTAGAGTATCACAATGCCCAAAATCCATGAAAAGAGAAAGGGCAGGCCTGGAAAGCAAACCTCAGAGGGACCGCAGTGCTGCCAGTGATTGTGTGCCCTCTCCTGAGAGGTGCGTGTCCAGACCCGTCCTCCATCCGCTATCGTATTTCTAATGCAGTGCTTCTCTGAGTCTCCAATGGCACACAGCCCATTTAGTTAAAAATGTAAACAGGAAGTTGTTTTCTGGCCGAATGGCCTGTGCAGCCCAGAAAAATGGTCATTTTTGCTGAGACCCAACTTTAAAAACACTAACACAGCAGTGGAAGCTGAAGGCCTTTTAGAGGGTAGCCCTGCCCCACATGGGCTGGTGCTAGGGTATGAGGGGGAGCTCATGTATGTGGGCCCAGGGCATCTTCCACCAGTGGGCAAGGACACAGTGAACACCATCGAAGAAACTCCTGTGACCTAGAAAGCAGCTGTTCTGCAGGGCAAAGAGACTCCTTAATACTCCAAGGAATTGCAGAACAGGCGCTACTTGGAAGTCACTGAGATCTGGTCTGGAGAAATGTGACTTGGCACTGACGACACAGCCTGGGTTTCAGTGCTCCTCGTCTGCTCCAGCTCCCCATCATTTGGCCTCCCATGAACCTTGTGCTCCCATTGTGGTTTCCCTCTGTGCTGACGAGTTTTCTGGTTGTTCTGTCTTGCAGCCCCCCGAATCCAAGCCCAACTTCACCCCTCTCGCCATCTTGGCCCATGTTCTCGGCGCCATCCAGCCCTATGCCCACCTCATCCACGTCCAGCGACTCATCCCCCATCAGGTCTGTTGCAGGGTTTGTTTGGTTTTCTGTTGCTGCCGTTGCTCTCTCATTGGCTTGGTCCTCTCTTCATGCAGTGTTCAGCCTCCTCGTCAACTTTGTTCCCCGCCATCCAAACCTGCACTTGCTTTTTGACAGGCCAGAAGAAGCAGTTCGTGAAGACTCCAGGTAAAATCACGGATGATGACCAATCTGTTCCTCTTTATCCAAAGCCGGTCAGGGACAGTGGGGGTGGCCAGCCTCTGCCCTCCTGTGATTCCAGCCTAAGAGACCGAAGCCAGGAGGGACCGTGTGCATGAACCAGCATGGCATTCTCCACACCTTTCTGAACCCTTCCTCCAATTTCTGAATGAATCCATGATGCCTGGAGTTTGGGGAAAGAGTGCTACCTTGGACAGGCCCCTGTTTGGATCGTTCTCTGAATTATGGAGCTTTCTCTGTGCTTTGGTATAAGATAATATCAGAGGGAACCAGTGCTGAGACATGTACTGGCCTTTTCTTCCCTCATTTTTATCAGGTAGCATCAGGCAGCATTTATTTGTGGGGCATTTATTTATTTATTTGACTATTGGCTGTGAGCACTGACACCTAGTTGCTAAGACCAGAGACATGAGAGAGAGATGAATGTAACAGAATAAAGGATGGAGATGTGAAACTTTTTCTCTTTATATTGTCATGGCTGCCTCCTTGCCCTCTGCGTGCTCCGATCTCCATGTATCATGGACCCTTAGCACTCATGGGAATAAGCAGCACCTCTTTCTCAGAGTTGATCTAGTTCCTCTCCTCTGGTTTGAGGATGTCTAGACTTAATTCTTTGTACTTCTTTAGAGAAAAGAAGCTATGTAAATCCAAGAAAAGAATTAATTAATAAAGATCCCCTGCAGAATCTCTCTACTATGTAGATCCTAAGCCTGTGTCTCTCTCAAATTTAGTTTCTGCTTATAGACAAGCAAAACGTAGAGCCCAGTTATAAAGCATAATAAGCATTTGGAGCCTTTACAGTATTTTCTCATCCATCTTTTTCTCATAGCTATTTTTTTTTCCCCAAAGGATGGGTCCAGCAGAGAGGCTTAAATAATTTATAACACTGAGTCTCACTTTAAAAAAAAGAAAACCCATGTTATTTATATATACAGAGGTATATATTAGTTTATTCTCCTCCAGGTACTTTCCAGTCTATCATTGCATTCTATCCTCATCTGAGAATGAGAGGAGAAATGGCCTGAACCATCTTATAGAGAAAGAAAACTGTGGCACAGAGTTGACGGCCCAGTCACACCACTGGATGAGAGCCCCTCCAGAATTCAGGACTTCTTGTCCTTAACTCAGCACTCTTTCCTCCAAACATATGGGTGCCCCCAAACCTAAGGTTCCATGCCACTCCCAGCCCCAGAGCCTGGCCTACTCTTCCTGGTTTTCTATCTAGCTTTGCACTGGAAGGTAGGAAAGGTAGCTTTTCCATATACTCTTTTATCCTCACCCTGGGAATAGGGTTAAAATTCAAGATCATATTTTTCTGACACTCAAGTTATTTCCTCATTATTTCCTAGACATATTCTGGGCGCTTTGGGAGACGTTAACTTTCTAGGACACGAGATATGGCATGGATCTAACCAGAGCGGTTCGATCACTCATTGCCCCATGAAGACCTGAACAGAGCAAACTTCAGTCACCTTCCAATATGCCTCACTACTCGTAGGAGAGGCTTGGTCATTAGCAGAATGTGTTTCCTTCAGTCTGAACAAAGGGAAGTAAAATCTTCAAAACACTGGTCCCTTGAACAGAATGGGCTGGGGGACTCAGGATGGTAGAATCATTCAGGTAAAAAGCTGAACATATTCTCTGCTTTGAGGGTATTTACTTTTTTGTGTCTCTGAGTTTGGGGGCCTGTTGCCTGTCCAGTATCTCCACCTCTGTACTCCCATCACCCGACATATTTTCAGGGTTTTTTTCTTTAGCTACTCCTTTCCATCTCCCAAAGTATTTCACGATTGGCAGAGCACGGTGGCAATAGGATCTGCTACCCTAGTAGGTTTGGGGTCATGGTATTCAGAACTACCTACTTTGGCCATCATTAAAATAGCACCATTTGGATGATGCTATTCCACAACACTTTAGGAATCTGCCATTTTGAAATAGGAAAGACAGACTAGGGCTTGGAATCAGCTGTCACAGAGCTAAGTATGTGTGCCGAGGTGAGCACAGATGGAGACCCTGCTGGGAGCTAGCCCATCAGACCTAGCCAACAGAGAGGATTAAAATCCCCTAATTGCTGTTGGGTTATGTAGCCAAGAGGTGGGGGCGTTCCTATTGTTCAGGTCCAATGGGGCCTTTTCCCCAAATCCACTTCCAGAGCGTGAAGCTTCAGATTTCCTTCCCCTGGCAGAGCTTTTAAAAGTAAATACTTAGTAAGACCTAATAAATTGTCCCGTGAACTTCTACATAATGTCTCCTCTGGAAATGACTCCCTCTCCCCTCTTCCAAGCATTTTTAGTGCTTGTTAGTTAGTTCAAGCTCAGGAAGGAAGATGCCTTTGATAGCACAGCAGAGGAAGGGTCATAGAGGCATATTCCCCTCACACTTCCCTTTCCTGTCACCCCTAGAGAAGCTTCCAGCCCCTAAATCATAACTTCCCTTTACATAGTGGTCCCTGGCAGTTGGGCTTGAATGATCAAGCTATTGCATCCTGCCAGTCTAGCTGGCCCCACCTCCCTGTAGTGTCATCTGACGGAGAGTGGGTTGTCATTTTGCAAGGTTTGCAAGGGCATTTGAGGGAAGCTCCTCTGAGTGCTTTCCTGGCCTTGTGCCATGCTCAGAGGCGAAAATTAAAAATGAACCAGCAGAAGGTTCCAAACTTGTTCATGCCCTTGAAGGCCAGCCGAGGTCTGAAGGGCACTGTTTCAGGAGCAGCCGAAGGCACCTCGGGCTCTCTGTGTCCAGTGTTGAGATGCACTGCAGAGAATGGGGAGCTAGAGAGCCAAGGATGCTTAGTGGGGATGTTTTATTTTTTTTAGTCAGAGCCAAAGTCTACAAACACAACCTCTGTGCCAACAGGATCTGTTTTGGTAGGAACCCTACCTAAAACAAACTGCTGGGGCTTTTGAGAGCTAATATAATACAGGACACTGGACCTGTTGGGCTGACAAACTTAAAAAGATAAGACTTCCCCCCGATAGAGATACCAGATTTAGCAAATGTTTAGCAAATAAAATAAAAATACAGAAATTCAGTTACATTTGAATAGTAGATAAATGGCAAATGATTTTTCTTACTATAGGTATGTCCCATGTAGTATGTGGGACTTCTACTATTAAAACATTTCTCGTTGATCTGAAATTCTAATTTAACTTGGTGTCTTGAACATTATTTGTCGGCCCTGGTCCTGGGGAACAGGAATAGGAGGAGGTCTCAGGGGAAAAGACCCTCTTGTAGATGGTCAGTCACCTATGAATCCGAGAAAAAAGCAAGGCCCTTTCCTGATCTTTGTTTTATTTTTAATGGGTTATTTTATTGTCACTTGATTCAATTCCAAAAGCCTAACATTAGTGGAAAATTTACTCCTCTTGAATGATAAACTTCGGCACCTGAGACCATTTCCTCTACTTGATTCCTGCCAGATACCCCACTTGGCTTCCCTGGTTTGCCTATTTTGTCCCATTCCCTTTATTTAATGAAGTTAATAAGTCACCGCTATGAAAATGCAGCTGGAGGAGCCTTGCCTCAGATGATCTTACCCTCGCGTTTGATTTTTCTCATCCCTGGTCTACGCTCTCCACCCACTAGCTGTGCCCTGTCCTCACGGGACAGTGATCAGGGCTAATGTCAGATGGATTCTCCTTCCACCTTCCAGGCTCTCCTTGCCTGCCATTATGGGGTTTGGGCCATTTTGTCACTTTTTACAGCCAGGCAGCTCCTCCTCTCGGCTCCCACTCCCTCAAAAACAAAAACAAACTTTTTTGCCCTCCATGGAAAGTTGCACAATGGATGTTTGGCCCTTGCTGACAACATGCAGACTTGGTTTAGTTGGAACACAGAATATGCCTCTGGTGCAGAATTCTATTCTGACTTTAATGACAATTACCCCAGAAGAGCTGTTTTCCACGTAAAGCTCATGAATTCTGATGGCTCTTCTTTCCTTCATTCCCAGTGGATCCACCTCATTTTCTCCCACTTTCCTAATTTTCTCCCACCTGGCCATCATCTGTTGGCCAGTAGAAGACCAGAGGAAAGAATGGTGAACTATGCCCAGCAACAAATTCTGGAATCATTTATTGTGATCATTGTTTGCAACAGAACTTTTAAACTATCTTTCATGGAGCCAAGACTAGACGTTCTAGATGCCTGGTCCCGGTATAAGTGTCCATCCATTCATCCATCCATGGCTCCTCTTTCTCAACAAGAAGCCGGATTTGGTGACTCTGAGAAATAACAGTTCCATAATGACCCAAGACCCCTTCCTCTTCTGATTTTGTCTTGGCTTACCTAAGACCAGCCTTTCCTCAGCTAAATCTCATTTGGCCACTAGAAATCAGTGTGCCACAGGGCGTTTAGTATCACTGGCTCCTGGAGGCTTTCTGTTAGTCAAATGAAGCTAAAGTAAATAATATATCCCTGGAATAATTGTTTAACCCAGAGGACCTACTGGCTCTTTTGTTATTCTGCCCTGGAGCCCCTAAATGTGCTTCTTCAGAGGGCTCAGAAGTAGAAGAGATTACTCTTACTTAGCAAATAAAGAGCCAACTTTTGACTGTTAAATGTTATTTGTCTTATGACCCTTGAGAAGTCCATAGATCATTTGGAACTATTTGGATATCAAAGCAAAAATTGATAGAAGGTAATAGGATTTACCGGTTCTTACTATTTACTCTTTAGAACATGGCTTAGCAATCTGTGACCCTTGGGTCAAGTCCAGCCTACCACCTGTTTTTTCTAAGTAAAGTTTTGATGGAACACAGCCATACAAAATCATTTACATGTTGTCTATGGCTGTTTTTATGCCACAAGGCAGAGCTGAGTAACTGTAACAGAGACCATATAGCCTACAAAGCCTAGAATATTCACTGCCAGGCCACCTACAGCAAGAGTTTGCCAACCCCTGCTCTAGAACAGTGGTTCTTAGCCCTGGTTGCACACTAGGGTCACTTTGAGAGCTTTTCAAAAATGATTTTGTTGCACATATATACATCATGTTCCCTCTCCCTTCTTCCTCCCCACGCTCCCCACACACATTCACATAAGTGCTCACACACACAACTTGTCTGTTCCCTGCCCTACCCTGGGGGTCGGGGAGTTCCAGCCCTGGAATCCTGCTCCACCAGCCCAATGAGAAGTAAGTAACATCTGGAAGAGCGAATGTCGGCCCATGGCCTAGAGCCGAAACATGGCTTTGTTAGAATTTCTCCTTTTTGACTCACTGAGCATTGCCAGTTTTCAACAAGGTCTGTTGGGAGTGCCCTCCGGAGCAACTAGGAAGCTCTTTCCTGCCCCCACCTCCCTTTTCCCAAACTACTCCTGCTCCAAAAATGGGTCCCAGCCTGCCCTCCCACTGTTCAGGTATCGTAACTCCTAGGCAGAGTTTCACATGGCACAAGGTGACCCCACAAGAAGTGTGGTTTCTCCAGGCTTATGGCTTTTCTCTGAATAATTCTCATTTTTCTCTGGTGACCTTTGCAACTTTTCCACCTCATGTTTTGCCATCTGGCTGCCTTGTCAGGCTGTTGCCACAAGAGACAACTAGGCGGCTTGCAGGGAAGGGGAAGAAGAGAGGTTAAATATCTGGGGCTTTCAGAAGGTTTAAAAATACTGCTAAATAAACTCCTATTTTCACACAGCACACCGTTCCGGAAGGCAAAAGCCTTATATGCCTGCAAAGCTGAACATGACTCAGAACTCTCGTTCACAGCAGGCACGGTCTTCGACAATGGTGAGTTTCTCATCCCCTTGCAGAGATTTGGGAGGGGTGGGAGAGCAAATAAAGAACTGCAGTTTTCAAAGTTCCTGAAGGGAGAAAAAATACAGTCTCACTTGAATGGATAAGACTGAAAAGAAGTGAGGGGGGTCGGGGTCGGGTGGGGGTCTTTGCCCAAAATAAGAGAGTAGCAGCGAGACTTCTGGAGGCTCTGTCAAGAGTGGACAGTGTACTGAGGTCTTCACTTGGTTGGATAGACTCAGCCTCATGGAGCAGTACTGGACGTGAAAAGTGATTGTGTACCTGGACAGGGCTCTGCCAAGCACTTGGCAGTGGCTTTGAGGGTCTGGGGGCTGGACAGAGGATAGGAGAGAGCAGAGCAGAGAACAGGGATCCTGCAAGTGATCAGCTCAGGATGGAGACTGAGGCACACGTTCTGTGCCTCTTTTTCCTCTTGGGTTCAGTGGCATTCACTCTCCATAGCAGGTGAGGCTTATTTCCAGGCTAGCAGGGCAACTAGGCAAGCTTGGGGTCAGTGAGCCTCCCTGCAGTGGTGCTTGGCCTCCCCCCTGACTGTTAATAGACTCCCTCAGGGCCATCCCCCTGCACACTCCCAGCTGTCCTGCTCAAGTATCCTGTGTGAAAATGGATTCGTGGCACCTGCACTGTAGAACTGGGAACTAGTCTTACTTGATGTACCTTTTTCTTGTTGTTTTTTGTTTTTTGTTCTTCCTCCCTAAAAAAAAGGAAAAGGTAGTATTTTTTAAAGTGAGTATTGATGGCATAATTTGTCGTAACTTACCATTTACCTAAAAGAAAAATCAGGATTCTGGGGAAAAGCCAGAATCTCTGTTACAGCTGAGATTTTCGCCAGATGATTTTCTCCTTTGGGGTTAATTTTTCCGGATCCTTGGGTGAAAGGGTCCCTTTTTTGACCAAAGGAGAAACCCAAAGCTGCTGCCTGATTTCAGGAAGTGGAAGTTTTCTGGGGCTGCCTTCTTGACCTCCATTGGGGTGGTGGCAGAGTTCCTGAGCAGGGCTGAGTGCATGTTGCCCAAGCGCTCCCCTTCAGGGCTGAGTGCCCCACTTTGGCCTAGGTTACACCTGCCACCTGCTTGAGAGCCAGAAATACAGGGCAGCCAAGGCCCCCACCTAGCACTAGAGTGCCTCAGCTCTAGATTCGGGCCACCAAAGCGCAAGTCCTGGCTCGACCACCTGCTTCTGTGTGAACTCCAGCAGTGACAACCTCTCTGTGCTTCCGTTCTGTCCTCTGTCACATAAAGATAGGAGGGTTGTGAGGGAGAATTGCAATGGTGCACGTCACGTGTTTAAGATAGTACTCAACACATTAAGCATTCAGTGTTGTTATTATCATGATGATGATTGCCATCATTATGCCCATCTTAGAGCCTGATGTTCTGATAGTTCACGGTGACCCTTTTACATTCGTCCCTCCTATAAAGCAGGCCTGGCTCTTGGCTGGGCAGTAGGTACTGCACCTTGACCCTCTGAGTCCTGGCTGTCTTTAGCGGCCTCTAAGCCAGAGCAGAGATGGATTCCTGGGGACAGCCTTGAGTGCATCCCCATGTGAGCGGGCAGCCCCCTGTGTACCCAGCCCCTGCATTTAGCATTGCAGAGGTAATAATTAGGCATGGGGAGACAGAATGGGGAATAGTTCACAGAGCACCTGGGGGATTCCCAGGTCACACTCAGACCTTCTGAGCCTGCAGGGGCTGGGGTGAGCCCATAACTGTATGTGGCCTGCTGGGCGCATGTCCTCTTGTATGGTTCTCTGAGCCCCAAAAGCACTGTCCTTAAACCTTTGCTCCATTAACTTTCATTTGGGTGCTTTGCATATCCACGTGCACAGCCAGCCAGCCCAGCGGCCTCTCCTGTCAGCAGCTGGAGCATTCAGGCCCTGGCAGAGCTGAGGTGACGTCGGTCCACAGAAGGTTGTCCAGAGCCATGTCACTAACAAGTGTGCCCTGCCCGAATAGGCCCATACGGTAGAGTCCCAGTGCAGCCATAACATGATGCAGCATTCACAGCAGACAAACCTGCGTGGGCTACATGCAGGCCTTCTGTGTCCTGCTCCACCAGCAGGCGCAGGCCTTCTGCCTAGAGATGGGCAGGTTTTGAGACATTCCCACGTTTACAGGTGAATCCGGAATTTAAAGTCTGTCCTCTGAACCCCAGTTCACTGCTCCTGTGGGCAAGGGACTGTCACGTTCCTATCAGCTAGTCACTGTGACTGCACAAAGGACCCCGATCTTAGGGGTAAACTTGGTCTAAACTCTCAAAAGGTATGTGTATGTGTGTGTATCTTGTTTGTGACTCCTTTTTTTGAGTGCAGCCCTCAACTTTATTGAGATACCCACATACCATACAATTTACCCATTTAAAATGTACAATTCCGTGGTTTTTAGTATATTCAGAGTTGTGCAACCATCACTACTATCTAATTCCAGAATATCTTCATCACCCCCAAAAGAAACTCTGTACCCCTTAGCAGCCATGCTCCATTTACCCCCAGTCCTGCTCCATTCAGCCTAGGGAACCACTTCTTCTACTCTCTGTCATTATCAAATTGCCTGCCCTGGGTATTTCATATAAATGGAATTACACAGTATATGGTCTTTGTGGCTTGCTGCTTCCATGTAGCATAGTATTTTCAAGGTTCATCCCTGTTGGGAGTGTGCATCAGGACTTCTTTCCTTTTTATTGCTGGGTAATCTTCCCGTGTGTGGATATACCACATTTTATTTATCCACTCGTCAGCTGATGGCATTTTGATCATTTATACTTTTTGGCTATGAAGAACAATGCGGCTGGACATGCATGTACAGATTTTTGTGAGGACCTGTGTTTCCAGGTCTCTTGGTGATAGACCTGGGCGAGGGCGGGAAGTACTACTGAATCCCACTGTAACTTAGTTAACAGTTGAAGGAGCTGCCAGACTGTTCTACAGAGAGGTTGCTTCATGTTGTCTTCCCACCTTTTTAAATCTCTTTTTTGAAGTAGCTAACCAAAGAGAAAGGAAAAGAAACCTAGGTGATTTTTAATGACCAAGTCATTTCCTTCCCTGCCGGGTGCTCTGCCTAGCAGGTCCTGGCACTGCATGCACCACACAACTTGGTCATCATCATAAATCCTACAATGATAAAGGAGAGCAGGAAAGAGGTTTGGTTAAATGAATCAGAGGCCTTATCCATGCCTTCCTGTGGTCTCTGGGAGTCATGGCAGAGGTCATTGACACCAGTTTGTTTTTAACCAGGAATGCCCTTTTAGATTCCCTGAAGAGCAAAAGCAAAATGAAACCCCAAAGAAAATACCTCTCAGTGTTGACTGAACTGCAGTCGAAGAAGGGTCTGACAAAATGTGAATCCACTTTTTAAAGATTTATTTATTTATTTGAGAGAGAGAGAGCGCGCACGAGCGGGGGAGGGGGACATAGGCAGAGAGAGAGATTCCCAAACCGACTCCCCACTGAGTGAGGAGCCACCTCCAGGCTTGATCCCAAGGACTGATCCTGAGATCACGGCCTGAGTTGAAACCAAAAGTCAAAGATGCTGAACCAACTGACCCACCCAGGTGCCCCATGAATATACTTTTTGTGGTGATTCTTAGAAAATGCTACATATACCCCATTTCCCCCTTCCCATCACCTCCATTGGAGAAATCAGGCATTAGGGGAGAAAAAGCTGTTAGCACATTAGGCAGGGAGATCATTTTCCTTGTTTCATCTCTTGCTAGTTTCTTTCTGGAGACATCAGGTAAGAGCTGTTTAAGTCGGATGCTCTCTGTCGCTGTCAGATTAAATCATCAGACCAAAAGGAAGAAAGTTTCTTAATGACAGGCCTAGAGAGTTTGTGTGTGTTGTCTTTTTCAGGATCAGGAAGAATGAATAAGGAAGAAGAAGAAGGAGGGGAACCTTGAGGGGAAACTCTGTTATTTCATAATGATTAATCTCTCTAAGCCTTTAGATTCCAGGGGCCTGTGCTGTGAATCTGGGGTGGCTGCTCAGTCAGCTTTTGGACTTTGTGCAGGGGAGAATGGATGTGCAATACTCGGAAACAACTCCACTGTCAGCCCTTGCCAGTCTACTAGGAAATAGCCCATTTCACCAGGAGCACCTCAGATAGTAACTGGAAAGAGAAATAACTTGTGTTCTCAGGAACATTAGTCATTTTATGGCAATGTGATTAGTGATACCTGGAAAATTCACATGGTAGTCACGAAAATTGGGTTCTTGGGATACTTCCATCAAGATATGAGGTGGGCTGGATCCATTCATTCCCAGGTATGGGGTATGGCATGAGTGCAAGATAAGGCTGCCCCAGCTTTCCTTTGCAGATAGAGAAAATCCTCCCAGGGAGCCACTGAGCTACTCCACCAGTGGGGTTATGGGGAGAGGTCTTCAGAGTGGAGTCTTTTGGACTCCCCAGCCATCTCTACTGCCAGATCCAAACACAAACCCAAGCCACCTCCATCTCTCACCCAGGTGTTTCCACCAGCTGCCTACATGGTTGTCATGTCCACTCTTGTCCCCACAACGCATTCCCTGTGCAGCAGCCAGAGTAATGTTTGGAAATCACATCATGTTATTCTGCTTCACATACTCCTGGCCTCCTGTTCCTCCTAGAATTACTGATGAGTGCCTCCACCGACCAGCTCCTGCCCCCGGCCCCTCCCTTCCTCACTCGATACACTGCAGCCTCACGGGCCTTCCCTGTGTTCTCAGCTAGGGTCAGCAAAGTATGACCTGTCAAATCCAGCTCACTGCCTGTTTTTGTAAATAAAGTTTTATTGGAACATAGCCACCCATGCCTCTTTGTCTGCATATTATCTGTAGAGCTACAATGGCACAATTGATAGAGACACACATTTACGACCTAGCTCTTTGAGAAAAATTTGCATACCACTGTTGTGAAATCACACCAAGCTTTTCGCCACCTTAGGGCCTTTGCACTTGCCATTATCCACTGCCTGGCTAGCTCCTTTGGATCCTTTAGGTTTTAGCTTTTTGAGCTCCTCCCCATACCCTCATTCCTATCCCAGTCTCTCTGTCTTCCCTCATCACTACCTAAAATTATGTGCTCATTTATTAATATATTGCCCTGATCCAAGAGCAGAATCCTTCTGCTTGCTCTGTACTGTGTGCAAGGCCCCCTAGCACAGTGTCTGACACAGGGTAGGTGCTTCATAAATGCTTGTTAAATGAGTAAATGTATTCAACTACACAAGGGTCTGTGCCTCTTCCAGCCAGTGCTTCTTCCCTTTGGAACAGTCAGCCATTAGAGATCCTAGTCACAGGCTTGCTCCTTGTCCATCTGAGAGAGGGAAAAGAGAGAGCATGAGTTGTGTATACAGGGGTGTATGGAGTATATATGGATGGAGCTGAGAGAAAGTGGTTGGCAGGAAGCACATCCATGTCAGCAGCAGCTTATATTAGATGCTTGCTGGGCTGGAGAGCTGCCTAGGCAACTCCTGAAACACTCTGTGTGTTTATATAGCACATTGGACATTGGTGCAATTCAGAAAGTTGGACATTGGCTCAGTTCAGCTCAACAAGTACTTGGGAGCATTGTTGATATCCAAAGCATTGGGCTAGGCAAAAGCAGTAGTGGTTAGACCACAGACTCTTTGGTCAGATGCCCTGGGTTCAGATCCACCTCCATCACCTGTCAGCTATGTAATATTGGGCAAGATGCTTAACCCCTCTGAGCCTCAGTTTCTCATCAGTAAAATGAGGATAATAGCAGAATCAACTCCAGAGTCATTCTGAAGATGAAAGGAGATAATGCAGGCAAAGCACTTAGCAAAAAAACCACTACTTGGTATATATATACATATGTATATGTAAATTCTTAGTGTGCATATGTATCATTTTCTGGTTGAATATAGGTGTAATGGTTTGGAAAAGGGCTTGGTCTCTGGAGTCAAACAAGCTGGGTTCAAATTCTAGTACTACCATTGCGATCGGCACAAATTAATTGACATTTCTGAGCCCTTAATTTTCTCATCTGTAAAGTACAGATAGGAAAATATAAGCTAGGATCTTTAGGATCAAATAAATTGATATATGTCTAAAGCTTTCAGCCCATTGGCTGCTTCCCAGTCCCCATCTAAGTATTAGCTTCTGTCATAATTCACCAGGCAGAAGGGACTCATTAGGTGAGACAGTACAGACTAAAATGTCCTTAAAGGGGGCAGGGTGGAAGCAAAGCTTAATACATTTGGACAGTGTTAATAGCACCCATGAACAATGTGCAGAATGAGCATTCCAGGAGTTTGGAGAAAAGAGGGAACAGGTAGACCGGATTCCATGCCAGTATTTATGAAGGAAGTAGGGCTTCAGCTGAGCCATAAAGTGGGAGGACAGGAAACAGAAGCAGGGAGGACATCTGATGTTGCCTCCCTCCGCCATCAGTGAATGAGAATTTGCGTTGCCTTATTACCACCCTCACTACAGAGGCATTTGGGCACAGAAGAGTCATAACCCTTACCTTTCTTTGAATGAGTCAAAAAGATCTCTCAGCCTCACTCCTAGAGATTGTGTTTTAACCGGTATGCCACAGGGTCCAGGACTCTGCAGTTTTAATAAGTGTCCAGGTGATTGGGATGATGTGGTCTGCTCCCATGCCTTAATGAACCCAGCTTAAAGACCCCAGTGAGTCTGCAGTCTAACCTGAGGGCTGCATTGTCCCCTGCCATCTCCTGTGACATAGCTCTTGTTCTTCCATTGGAGGGCCTCCTTTATCCCCTCGTGCTCTTCCCTTACGCTGCAAATTCCATTTTTAATGTTTGTAGACGTTACCACCTCAGCACCTGAACTGTGTTTGAACAGCTGCCCAGGAAGGGAGAATGTCTGAAAGTGAGGGACTCCGTGTATCTGGTGGAGTAACAATTCAACTAGGAGCTCTGCTGTAAAGTGGGAGGGGTCTTTTTTGTTTTTATTTTGTTTTGTTGGTTATTCTTTCTAGGCCTTTTATTTTGGGGAGTGAGTTTGTTTCTTTTGGTTTGGTTCTGAACATTTGAGGTTCCCCAAAGCTTGGGTGGGTATTGAGACCAGGCCCTTACCAGGAGAGAGCCCTTGTTGACCAGTCCAAGTGACTGGTCAAATGATGCAGGGTCCCCTATTGACTAGCCCAACTGTGTCCTGGCTCTCTGCTGAGTGCTTTCTCCATATTGGCCCCTGGAACTTCACAAGAACCCACTGACAGAGTGAGAGTTTTATTGTTTTTTTATTTTTATTTTTTAAAGATTTTATTTATTTATTTGACAGAGAGACACAGCGAGAGAGGGAACACAAGCAGGGAGAGTGGGAGAGGGAGAAGCAGGCTTCCCGCGGAGCAGGGAGCCCAATGCGGGGCTCGATCCCAGGAACCCGGGATCATGACCTGAGCCGAAGGCAGACGCTTAACGACTGAGCCACCCAGGCGCCCCCAGAGTGAGAGTTTTATTATAATCACTTTATAAGTGCAGAAATTCAGGTGATCTTAACATTGTCAGCTGGATGGATGGTCAGAAGGCAGTGGTGTTTGAGTGCAAGTATCTGAGGGGTGGGTTGAGAGAGTTTCATCATTGGAGAGGCCAGGTTGCTTTTAAATTGTGTTGTGTTCTTCTGTGGCACTTTTCTTCCAGACTCCTCCTTGTGTGGGTGTCATGAATCTGAAGTACCCTTACTATTTTTGGTTTATTCATGAAGCCTAGTGATACAAAATTATGCAAGCATTTTGGAGGCCACCTAATAGATGTTTGATCTTGTTTTTTCCTGAAGAAGCTTTCAAGATTACATTGACATTGATCTTCTTTAAGCCTCAATGTGTGTCCTTTTGCTACTCCCCCATTGCTTCCTTTTGTTTCTGTTCTTGCTTCTTTCCCCACAAACTGAAACTAGAGTTACATAGTAGCAATGAGGGCGGAAATGCTTTTCTAAAACAAGCTCAGGAAGTCACTTAATTAGCCTAGGAAGGGAATAAGGGAAAATTCATTCTTTCTAAACAATCTCAGAAAATTGGAGTTTTCCTAATACGTTAAGAGCAAATATGTTGCCTTTCCCATTAAGAGTGATTTGTATATTCCCGCTTCACAAGCATGAATACCACCCCCCCATTTCCAGGTCCCATGATTCCTTCTCTCTTTCTTCCTGCTATTGAACTTTGCAGACTCAGCTGGATTTTATATAATACTTACAATATCACTGTAATTTCCACAAAGATGTATTGTGATAGCACAGAAATGAGTGTATATTTTTTGGATTGAAAAATCAAAGAAATGGAGATTTTGAAAATTGCAAGAAAGAGGAAGAAGACAGCTTTCAGTCTTGTATGTAGGAGGGAGGAAAATTCTAGAGAACAGCAAAGAAAACTAAGGGTATGGGTGGAACAGAGGGGTCTGTTCAAAGGCTATAGAATGTAAAAACAAAACAAAAACAAACAAACAAACAAAAAACACAGGGAATTTGCAGGGAGATTGGAAGCAGAGGGTAAGGTTTAAAGGGAAGCAAAATGCATAATTAGATTAGTAAAATGCGTGCTAGATATCTTTAAAGACTAATTCTTAGCATTTTTTCATGGGCACTCCACTGGGTACAAAGGCAGTCCTGGGTAGGTAGATGGGTGCCATGGATGGATAGATAGATGGATGGATGGTTAGATAAATTTATGGATGGAGCACCATAACTGACTTCTAACCTAAAAAGTAGAAATCTGTCTCCTCTTTCTGGTTTAAACCAGCAACTTCAGAAAGTCTAGGAAACTCCTAAAATTCTATGTAAAACTTTGAATGTCTTTGTTTCCTTTTGTGTTATAAAGAACATTCAGAGTAACCTTTATTGAAAAGCTTATGTCCCACAAAAAATTAAGAACCCCTGGTTATTTATTTTTTTAAAGATTTTTTTTTATTTATTTATTCGCGAGAGAGAGAATGAGAGATAGAGAGCAAGAGAGGGAAGAGGGTCAGAGGGAGAAGCCGACTCCCCACTGAGCAGGGAGCCCGATGCGGGACTTGATCCCGGGACTCCAGGATCATGACCCGAGCCGAAGGCAGTCGCCCAACCAACTGAGCCACCCAGGCGCCCCATAAGAACCCCTGGTTTAAACAAGTCCTAGAAATGTGTAATATAACAAGCGATTGCACTCATTTGTTCTCACACGAGTGTGCACACACGTCCACCACCTGCCCTATCTGTAACACCTTCTCTTCTCACACTCTCTCCCCTCTTGCTATACAGTTCATCCATCTCAGGAGCCTGGCTGGTTGGAGGGGACTCTCAACGGGAAGACTGGCCTCATACCTGAGAACTACGTGGAGTTCCTCTAACCGTGGGCCCCAGCAGACCTGCTGAGCTTTCCATTGTATCCATGACAACTGCTGATGCCAGTGTTGTAGGCCATTTCTCTTTGCCGCTGAGAAATGCGGGGTGATTGACTCTGTTACCACCTGCCAACACAAATGTTTCTGTGAACTCTGGTGTCACCCATCCCCATGATCATGTCAACTGGCATGTGGTGATACAGCAAGGAACAGAAGTAAATCAGCAGTGGAGGCCATTTGATTTTGATAACCGAGGGAAAGGCTTGCAAAGCCATTCCTCTCATTTAGTGCCCTAAATAGGGAGCATTCATTTTGTTTCAACAGTCATCCAAACCCCCAAACTTCCAAAAAAGGAAGTAAGAAAGATATAAGTAGTCCTCAAGAGCATGCAGGGAAGCTAGGTCTAACAGGGCTGGGCATTGGCTCTGAGGCCCAGGCTGGGCCCGTGGCTTCTGTTTACAGTAGACACTCTCTCTACCCCACCTCTAAATACTTGAGACCCACAGTGCTACAGGCAGCTGGGTCTGTCTGTTTGCATGCAGGAGGGAGATGGTTTACGGCACTGTTTACATAAGATGCAATCTCTCGCCATCTCCAAGCAGCCTTGGCCAAGCATCAGCAGAATTCAGCTCAGTCCTCCCGTGCAAGGGAACACACACACCCCACATTACCCCTCCCAAGCTAGGAACTTTTCTGCCACCCAGGGCTGCCATCACCTCGTAACCACGGCAACCCAACCTACTCTGAAGCCAAACCAAAAATATAGCACTCTTTTTGCATGACATATTTTTTCTCCCTCCTTTTTGGCCATTTTTGAATGATTTTCCAACAACCTGAAGCAGCAGATCAAGGGATTAGAGTGGTCTGCTTGGGGCTGACAGAATAGCAGCTGGGAACTCTTCCCTTTCTGATGAATTTCAGCAGCATCAGGATATATTTGGAGCAAACTCTAGTAACCTCTTGAGATTAAATTACATACAGGCTTAATACTCCTGTTCTTCCATACAACTAGCATTTGCTTTCTAGGGGGCAATATGCTGCCTCCTCATGGGTGACATCCTCTCCCCCCTTTGAATTGTTCACTCGTGGTCTCCCGTTCCGTGTCCCTTCCCCTGCCCTTGACTGCCTCTAGCCCCTCCCTGACCAGCCCCACTGGCAGTGCCCTGGGCTGCTGAGCACTGGTGCCCCGGCGGCTTTCAAGGATGATTCCCGGGCTAACCCTATGGCCTGTAGTTTTAAAGGACATATATGTTCACTGCCACTCAGAAAAAGGGAATTGTTTCTCAGGCTTTTGAGGCACAAGACTAATATTGTAAGCCATTTTGATTCAGGAGAATACCAAAAGGCTGGGGCATGGAAGGTGGAATGGGTACCTTCTGAGAAAGAGAATTTCCCTGTCCAGAAGGGGCCAGGTCTTGTGGAAGACTGCCTGGGGGAGGTTGGGTCTGGACATTTCACATTCACTTGGTCTTCAAAGGAACAGAGTTCCCAGTATCTTCCACATTCGAATGTCCTTGCAAGAGTGACTCTGGGCAGACAGACTCCAAACTGGTGTTGGACTGTCAAGCTCCCCAGGAGCCCTCTCGGGTTGGCAGCATCACCCCAGAGTGTTTCCCACTTCTGGAATTCCTCTTTAGGGAAGTTGAAAGAAGAAAAGAAAAACTTGAATTGTGTTGAATTACTGTATCTTTTACTTTTTTTTTTGAAAAGATAAACTTGTAAATAGAGTGATTTGAAATATATGGCAAAGTTTTATATTTGATAATCTTTAAGCTAGTAGCTCCACACATTTAAGCTTTGGTTGTTGAGTAGGTGTGTGTAAGAGGGAGAGAGAGGAGGCGAGGTTGAAGAGGGTCAGGGTCGTCCCCTCTCTGGCTTCGAGGAAGGAGGACACATTTACCCACTCTCTGCTGGCTCTCGCTGGCGGGCATGACACACTGATGGTATTCGGTTGTCTTTAGCCACATGTGTTTTTGAACTTTCCTTGGGCTTTGAATTTGGAGAGAGAAAGCATTTTCAGGCAATGAATTTTTAAAAGAACGCTTGCTTGGTAGTAAGATGAAGCTCAGGATTCCCATAGGTGGGGCCAGGAGTTAGATTTTTTTTTTTTTTTCATTTTTCTTCTCAGGTGTATTTCTTGGTACCCCAATATGTCAGGACGGAAGGCAACGGGGCCGTCGCATGTTCCTCATATCTCACTACTCTGCACATCTTCTGAGGTTGTACACATGAGGCCGAGCTATTTTGTAAATGGTGTGTGTGTGTCTAAGTTGTAGGAAAAACTGGCTTCTTAGGATCTTGGGTCCTCAGTATGCTGCTGTTTTCCCTTTCCCTAAATATTTCCCTTCTTGTTCATCTCAAATTTCCTATAACCCCAAAATAAAAACTCCAAAGAGGGACGTAGGATGTAGGCTGTGCTGTTGTTACAGCTTTATAGATAATTTTAAATTTAAAGGAGTTTGTCGTTGTGATTCAGTTCATCAGCTCAAGGATTACACAGCTATTATGGAACAGCTCAACCAACAGCAAGCGAGACACTACCACTACCAATTCAGGGAATGAGAACTAAGACTGGATAAGACCAAGATAGGACTCAGGAAAGCTATTCACTGAAAACTCGAGAAGAAGGAGAACACACCAACTGGCTACACTTACTCCCTGTAGACTTGGAACAGCTCAGGAACCTGTTCAGTGGAGCTTGAGGGGACAAGCATGTTCTGTGCCACTGTGCTTTCTAAATGGCAAGAACTCCACATAATGGGTTTTTATTGTTGTTGTTTTTTTTTAACACATTTGATGTTTTAAATTGTCACCTGCCTCACTGGACCCTTAACTAGAGCTAACGTGGAGGAGCAGAAGGCCCAGGCCCTGATTTGGGGAGCTCCTCCCTGAAACATAGCTGTCGACACTTGGCCCCAGCTTGACCACTTGGAAGGCTGTCCCTCCCTCTTCAGTTGGCCCTGATTTGAAGCCGGAAGGAAATGGTAGTGTCGCCAATGTGAATTTGTAGGTAGACCCCTTCCCAGCTTCCCTGTGGTCATGCTGGGCCTGTGACAGATGGCTGCCCTGCTTCCTTTCCCCAGCCAGGCTCACCTCCTCCTCATTTGCTGCAGAACTGGAGATACCGTTAACAATATGAGCCAACAAATAGGGAAGGAATTTGACCACTAAAAGTCGGTTTTACCCTCTCTACCGTCTATGCCCCCCACCCCTAATTCTGCTTGAATAGGGAACTTTACGGCACATTAGGAGAGTGAACAAGGTATCAGAATGGAGGACTATGGACCAAGATCCCTGAGCTTTCCCAGAAACCTTGTGTTTCTTTTCTAAGGCCCTATGATCATGCACACAGAACCTGAATCTTTACTTGGGCATGATGATCCATGTCATTCCTCCTTCAGGTACTCAAAGAATTCCACAGCTACAGAATTCCATGCTGTGAAAGATAACTAGTTTCAAATCCCTGCCCCCAAATCCCTTGCTCAGGACTGATGATATTCTCTTCCATTTTCAAAAATTGACGTATAGGGATGGACCCTGTGTAGCACAGCCTTCCTTAGTATCCTATAATTGGAGCCAGTTTCTCTCTTAGTGTTTTAATATCTCTACGGCCAATATGTGTTTACCTCTGTCAGACCAAACTGTCTTTTTCAACGTAATTCTAGTTCATCCCTTTTTGCTGAGTGCTTTTTAGAGAGAGAGGCAAAGAGAAAGAAGCTAAGCAATCAAGCATTGGCAGATTGGCATTAGCAGGACAGAGCCATGCTAGTGACAAGACCATTTCAGGCATTCCCAGGACTGCACAATTGTGTGTGCCATGCCTGTAGCTCAGAGGGAAGTCCTTCTACAAACTGTGTCCCCTGACAACAGCGAGCCCAGTCACCCCAGAAGTTCTGTCTTGACTACAGAGACTACAAAAGCATCCATGGTTGAAGAGTGGGGAGACAGAAGTAGTCAGCTAAAGGTAATTTGATCCCCTATTCATGACTCTTTATTGGCACTTTTCATCCTCTGGCTTCTGCTTCCAAAAGCAAGTCTGGACCAAAGTTTTATAAACACAGGAGTCCCAGGTACAACAGTGGCCACCATGGCACTCACAGTCGCCCTAGTACAGAATGTTTTATGAGCTACCATATTACCACAGTAGGTAGCCAGCCTTGAAGAAATCAAATAGCTACCTGACTTCAAAAGGAGTGTCCTAGGTGTTCTACCTCCAGAGTTATCTGTCATCTCTGGCAAACCTGACAGTAATCAATTACCTAGACAGCCCTGCCCCACATGTCTTTTAAGTCAACTGGGTGTCCTCTCACACACCCTTAGCTGGTGTTTGAAAAATTTATCTCGTGTTCAAATGTGTTTGGCAGCCTTGCTGATCGGCTGGGTGCTGAACCACTTCTCTGTAATTGTAGCATCAAAATGACAATAGCAGAGAAATGAACCTTGCACAATCCTATAGCATGCCTGAGACTAGACTCCAACAAGTAGTAATTAGCTTTTTTCCTTGCGCCACCTACAGTACTTGTCTAACTAAAGAACTTCCCAAAGCAGAGAGAGAGACCATATAGAGAATCCAGATGTCATTCAGAGCCACCAGCCCTTGCTGAAATGTGGTCCTCTGAAGGAAGCGTTGTATTCTGGGGTGAAAAGGTTTGGATGTCAAGTAGCACGAGGCGCAGAGAGAAAGAAAAATATGAACCACCTTGAAGAACTTGGGATGTTTTTCCTAAGAGGGATAAATACAGTTCTTAACAGGGAAAAATCGGCCACAGAAGAAGTTCACAACTGATATTTTTACAAAAGTTTTTAGAGGACTCTACAAGGTGGAAATGTCTTTCAAGGTTTGGAATGCTATAGCAAGCAAAGGCTTGGCACAGTCCTAGACCCATATAAGAATAGCAGTTAATATTACATGAAAATTCTTTTGAGTGTAATCAGAACCAGAGTATTGATAATCAAAATGTCCAGTTTCCCTGGAGTGGTCCTGGAGAGGTCAAGACATTCTACACGTACCATTTCTACAAAGTTGTCCCAGCAGACACCTACAAGCAACTACCTTGGGTGTCCAGGTGCCAGGATCACCCTGGTACCTGTGGAAAGAGGTTCATCTGAAGATTCTAAAGTGTCTGTGTGTTAGCATGTGTTTGTGCATGTGTATGTAAAGCACACATCTGCATCTGTAAAGACACAGAAGCTCATATAGAGACCCACAGAAGCTGGCAGTTGCTGAGCCTTTGCAGCCTTTAAGATTTAGAATTTGAGAATAAGAGAAACGCGAGGCTGTTGATTGGCAAAATGATCAAAGTTGTAAATTAAGTGCCATTTTAAAGCTTCGTGTTTATCAAATGGTTACTACAGCTGTATTCTTTATTAACTTATTAAAAGTCGTGTTGGAAAACAGATCAAACTCATAAACCTTTAGTAGCTAATACTAGCCTGGTGGTCACAAGCACTCTAAAAGACATTTTGTCCATATTTTGGAGACGAAAATATTTGCATGTTTACCTCCTAATTTAGGCTACCTTTGAGTATACTGTAAAGTGCTATGTGATATATTATCAATAAAGTACTTAAAAATGGCACTTTAATTTTTTTAAACCATAAATTATGCACTGTTTTAAACTTCAGTATTGAATATTGACTGGTGTGTAGAATCCAACTCTGTAATTAAAAAGTAATTTGTGACTAGAATAGAACTTTTTTCCCCGTTCTTAGTAAAATAGTCTTGCCATGATAAGGCTGTTTTTTTAAAATGTGCTTTTGCGTCACTAAGCATATCTATAAGGAAAATCCAGTTTCTGTTGAGTGGCCTCTGAAACTTGGCTTTGTTTCATTTGCTTGGTTTATGTGACAATCCTTACGAAATGAGTGGAAGTATGATTTTTGAATTAAATGACTTTTCCATTTGGTGGCACGTTTGTTTCTTGAGTTTCTGATAAAGTTTGGACAGGATGCCTATTTTCATATCTCTTCCAATAAGAGTATAAAGACAGGCTCCCAGGCCCCTGTGGCGCACTAACAACCGCAGTGCTGATGCCTGACCTTCCTTTAGGAAAGCTCTAATGCTGGTGAACTTGAGGAGCCATGAAGCATGTCAACCACGCCCCCCCCCCCGCCGAAGCCATATTCTACTTAATGTTTCTGACTTCCAGGAGATAAAGTCTCCTGGAAGACATAATTGTGTTCATTCTTCCTGAATTCGACGTTCAAATCCACTCTTTTGTAGAAGTTCATGAATACCACATGGGATAGTCCAAGAGCCACAACACAGATAGTCCCACCACACAGCTGGGTGTGTTCCACAGGGTTGTACCTCATTTGTTTAGAACTTGTAACGTGTCCCAGGCCAGCTCCTATTACCGCATCTTCTTACTCATCATGTCCCTTCCAGACACATTCAAAGCTGCAGCCCGGGGCTCCCAGCTTCTGTAGTAGTGAGCATAGAGGGTTCAGAAGGAGAGAGCCAGGGGAGACTCTGGTGGACGAGGAGGAGAGTGGGGCTCCCTGGGTGCCTAGTTTTGAGGGGGTGCCCACTTGAGTGTGTGCGTCACACATGAGCCACTCACACTGTGCTCATTTGTCACTTGAGAAGGCACTGGCTTGTAGCTCTTGTGCCATCACCGAGCTTACACTGCCCTGGAAAATTCTCCAAACATCTGAAGCCTCCTACATGCACGAGGTCACCCAGCACCTAGGGGAGACCTTCTGAGTGGTACACAGCTGCATCCGCTGTCCATCATGGGAGCACGAGATCTATGGTATGTATTTGTGTGTTATCTTTGTTTTTGGCCTCTCCAATAGACTTGGCAATCACTTCACCTTTTGTGTCTTTTTAATAGAAGAGATATCATTTTCATTTTGATTTTAGTAGCCACTCAGCAGAGCTCAAATTGCATCACGCCTTGTGATTGGTTTGGTGTTCTTCACTTGTTAGCTCTGGCTGCGTGATTGGTTAAAAGAGCACCGTGGTTAGAAATGGGCTGGATTGACACTTGAAATTAGGTAAATGAAGGATTTTCTTAGGTCCCAAACATGTTTGCTGTCTCGGGAATTAAATCAGGGCTTTAATTCCTTCTTAGTTCTTTCAGTCTCTGCTCAGATACCACACATCTCTCCTACCCAACTGTGTCAATGTCACTGGCTTGCCCTGCTTTTAATAACCTAAACTAAGCTGCAACTAATTAACTAGGCTGGGTTAGGCAGAATTGTCAGAGTTCCACCAGCATGGCAGCCAAGGGAGCCTCTAACCAATGCAATAAGTGCTTGGTGGTAGGTGTGTGAGGGCTCCTGCATGGGAGGGTGCAAATAACCGCCTGCAGGGAGGGGCGTTCCAACCAGGGCCACATCCTTCACAGTGGCACCCTGCACACCCAGGCATCATCGGATAGTGTGGACCAAAGCAGGAAGGTTTTAATTTGAGATGATCAGAAACCACGGCGCACTGCACTCAGCAACACTGGTCACTCTGTGCATCTCATCTCCTGCAATTCACCCCATGAGGCGGGCCCCAGCCTCTGTTCACTAAAACCCAAGTAGCTAATAAGACTTCTCAAGGCCGACCAGCAAATTAATCAAGACTTGAATTCATTTGGGGCTTTAGGTACCAAAATCACATATTACCCTCCAAGTCTTGAGCCCACCATTAAATTAAAATTTTTTGTTCTGACACTATGGTTCTATGTCCTCTTTGTAGTTTTTCTGATAAGTTATCGGAAAGATGTTTTTTAAATGAACTTTTCCTGCCTTTTCTGAACCCTTCTTGGTGAAGCAGCTTACCTCGCCTGTGTTAAATGCAATGAAGTAATGACAGTAAAGGGTCGCCCCTCTTTTTCTACCTTTTCTTTCTCACACTATTTTCCCCTTCATTTGTCTATCTATCAATTCATTTTCATCATAAAATGTTTGGTGTCATTTTATTTTTAATTGACAGCTCCATAAGGACAGAGACCAAGTTTTGCTCACCCACGTCCGCCCAGTCCCCAGCCCACGGCCTGGCCCAGCACGTGTCCAGTAGCCGCTGGGTGGGCTGACCGAGTGACCGAAAGCAGAAGAGTGCTGCTTTGCCCTGTAGTTCCTCCTTCCTGTTGGACTCAACAGTTCTTGTTGAAAGAAAGAAATTGGGTGTCATTAGACTTGGGTTCTTGAACACAAGGTGACCTTGTGACCTCTGGCAAACTCCTCCGTTCACTCATGTCCTGGGATTTTGGCTCATTGGAGGGGCACTTCCCACCCTCCATCCAGGCACACACAGCCACATTCTTTCCCATCCCACTCCCTAGTGCTCAGTACAAGAAGCCATCTGGTTGACCAGCTGACCGAGAACCAAAGACCCTTCACTGTCATCTGAATTGCTTATGGGTAGTTTTATGAACTTCATACCAGGCTCAGGGCCTGCCTTCAAGCAAAGCCACATCAGAATCACCCCCAAAATAAAAAGTATGCTTTTTTGAAGACCCTTCCAGGAAATTCCACACTGTCCCGTGGGAATTTGGTCTGGCATCTAACACTCTCACTAAGGGAATTCTTTGGGTCTAACTGAAGTTTCCCATGATGCAGCTTATGTCCGTTTCCTTTCTGTTTTTCCTTAGAGTGGAGAACAGCTAGCCTCATTTTTTTCAGAGAAATCATGCTCCATTTTTGTGCTTCCATCCAGCAAACACTTCTTGACCATCTCTATGTACCAGGAGCTCCTATGACTGGGACTTATAAGACATGATCTCTGTCCTCAGGGAACTCACAGTTGACCTCCACTACAGGCAAGTGTATGAGAAGCCACATGTGCCATGTGATATGTCTACATGTTGTGCAGCAGGTAGTCTCGGGCTCCAAGAAAGAAGGGCCTTTCTGTTTAGGAGGCCGGCTTCACACAAGTGACATTGGAGAGGGATCTCAAAAGGTGGAGAGAAGTTTGGCACCTAGACCATTGGAGAAGTGTCCCAGGTTTTAGGACAGTAAGGACTGAGGCATGAAAGGGAGAGGGAGATGGAGGTGAGCTGGATGTGATTGGACATGAGGAGACAGGAGCTTCCTGGAAAGCTGTACGCTTCACTGGTCACCCTCACCTACTCCCCACGTTGACCTCTAGGCTTCTGTTTTCTCCCAATGACCAACAATATCAGCTAACATGGATTACAGTCTTACTAGGCAGGAGACACTATTATAAATGCATTAACTCACCAAGTCCTCAAAACTCATGAATGTAGTGCTATAATTGCCCTCATTTTATAGATGAGGAAACAGGATCAGGGAGCTAGGAAGTTGTGAAACTTAAATTTTAGGATAGGTCTGTCTGGTTCTAGAGCCCATATGCTCTTAATTTTTTAAAAATTTCTTTATAGGTATACACACATGATCTTACATAAATGTGTAAGCATGTTTTAATCACGAGGAAGTTTTTCCTTCTGCTTTTGACTTGGTCCTTCGATCCCCCACCTAAACATTTTCAAAACTGACATCAACAACCTCATTATGTCCTTTTCAGCAGTGAGCCCTTCAAAAAGGGCTCTGGCAAGCAGTCGCCCGCAAACACTTAGCTTTAGTTCCCTATTGCCCAGAATAAGAGCAGAATATGTTTTGATTAAAAACTTTTCTTTTCTCCTAGGAGCCCTGTGCTCACTCATTTTGGGTGAATAGTTTCCCTGTTTCTGGAGCTCTCTGCAGACACTCCTGGTTGTCTGGGCAACCCCATGGACTCCAGCTGCAATCTTTGGCTGGTCCCAGCATCCTTAAGGACACTGCAAGGAGGCAGCCCCTGCGGAAGACCCAGCCATGTTTTGTTGGCTGGAAATATGTGATGTGCACATTTTTTTAAATTTAACAATTTGAAAACAGTCCCTCTCCCCACCCTGATCCAGCTGTCGACGACAGACCTTCAGGCTCTTATGGGATTGCCAGGGAAATCCCATGAGCATGTGTCTTTTTGTGGGAGAGCCAGTGTTTCCAGCATGATCTGCAAATGCTTAAAAATAGAGAATCTTGGCATTTTAACCCCTTCTTGAACTTAGTGAGATTTGAAAAAAATCAGAGCTAGAGGAGACAGCAAGAGAAGTCAAGGCAGACAATGGTGAGTACTTGTGGGACTTCCTCTAAGGCAGAATGGGACTCACCCAGGTCTCCTGCAGTCAGGGGCATAGAGCTGTTGCATGTCAAGATGACTGACTAAGTCTCATTTATGGAGCAGTTCCATTGTACTAACTGCTTTCACATGCATCATCTTATTAATCCTCACATCAACCCTGTGAAATAGGTCCTGTTGTTACCCTTTTCTGTAGATGAGGAAGCCAAGTATTAAACTGAGTAACTTGTTCGGAGTCACTAAGCTAATAAGTAACAGAGCAGACACTGAACCCCAGCAGACTGATACCACAGCTTACCCTCAACTCCCACACTGTCTCCAGTTGAGAAGGTGTTGGAAGCTCCAGCCCTTGAATGCCCTTTACTTCCCTCGCGCCAAAGGAGTATTTGTTGTTTTTGCTCTATGGCGTCCAGTACCCCTTCTGGCAACAGCACCTCAGTTTTCATTTGGGGCCCGTGGGTTTAGGTTCCATGGGTTCGGGTGGCCGGGCATCAACCCTTGATCCAGTGGTGAACCAGTGGTGCTGTTCTGGGCTATGAGATCATCAGATCCACCCAGCCACAGTGATTGGTTGGTTAAGGAACAGGCATGGGGCCTAGTTAAATCCACAGTGCCGGGACTTTGTTCTGGGGCAAGGTATACAGGTCACAGCAGGGTCACACAGATATTCTTCATATCAGGGAAGCGTAGTAAGTACCATTCCCCTGACCCTTAAATGACTTCTTAATATGAATTCTGTCTGCCACTTGTCTTTATTTAAGGGCCCTCATACTTTATGTTAAGTATGTATATTGAGATTTTAGTAGTGTACCTCTTAGGAAAGTCACTTCAGAGAACAA